CACACACACACACACACACACCGTGGTTTAGTCACACAGCCTGTGTCCGTGTATGTGAAACCAAGCCATTGTGATGTACATACACCCCCTCTGCCTACTACCCCCGCCCCTTACCCCATCTACCCCCTTGTTGTTCTTCTTCTCCCTCTTTCTTCGCACTTCACTTCACTCACACCCGAGTCTCACACACTCCTCCCGCTACAGTAGTGATCGGCTCCACACTTGCACGCGTGTTTCACTGACTGAGCGCCGCTGGAAACAATGGGAACGGAACCGCTTTGTGTCGGACAGAGACTGACGCTCTTCTCTGTGCTTGTTTAGGACTTTCTGCTGATAGTCTCATATATTCAGGATCTCATTGTCTCGTTTAACACAATGGGCTGCTGCAGCGGACGGTGCACCCTTATATTTCTGTGCACGTTTCAGCTGGTGAGTTTGTTTTCTGATAAATGGGCATTTCACACTGACTGCTCAACATGTATGTGAGCTGGTTGGTTTATAGCCTAATACGTTGCCTTTTGGTTTGTTGCCTTTTGTTTATGTGGCTGGATACATAGTGAGTACATTGTTTAAACATTGTGTGTGCTTGAACTCTTTTGTCTTGATCTGAGTTAAGGTTGAACATGTGTTTAAGTAGTTGGCCCCTCCATAAAATAACCCAGAGTTGTAAAAGACTTTTATGGGCAGTTTAATGCTTTTGCACTGCTTAAGTCAACACAGATGAACTTTGCTCATACTGTTACACTGATTTTTCACTGTGACAGAACAGAATACAGGACTAAAACAACTTCATATGCCAAGGAATTGTTTTTGTTTAATCAGGTTTTCTGTTTCTCACAAAATTGTCAACACAGTCAGATTTTGACATGTAATGTCAAAAGTGTAGTAATAAATATTATAGCATACTATTACATATTATATTAAAATAGAAAATGTACACATTTTAAAATATTGTTAAATTGTACATTATTATTATTATTAAAAAATGGTATTTAAAATTATTATCAACTCCATCTGTTGACTTGTCACCACCATTAGACAAGAAAATCAGAAAGTCAGCCCACAGTATTGCCAATAAAACTATATTTTCCACATCAAAAATGAATTCAATTTTAGCCATGTTGATTTTCTGGTGTGTTGCTAGTTAAATTATCTAAAATTATTTGTTTACAATTTGAGTGATAGAGTCGGCATGTCATGTTTGTGACATCAAAATATATGCACCACTACTTAAGTCGGCATGAAATTAAAAATTCACCCAATTTATTTTCTATACGCATGTTATAGGTCTAATAAATGCTTACATTTTTTTTTAACCTCATACTTTTTAATCAAAATGTCAAAACTCAATCTTCCAGTGAAATGACAGACGTATGTTGGATTTCTCCATTCATTTATTCCACTTAAACTTTCTTACAATCGACTGCAAAATTCACCCAATTTATTTTCTATACGCATGTTATAGGTCTAATAAATGCTTACATTTTTTTTTAACCTCATACTTTTTAATCAAAATGTCAAAACTCAATCTTCCAGTGAAATGACAGACGTATGTTGGATTTCTCCATTCATTTATTCCACTTAAACTTTCTTACAATCGACTGCAGGCTGGCATTCAGATCTGCCTCCATCCAGTCAACAATCAATGGATTAAAACAAGTCCTGGTCTACATTTTTTGATAGCCTGTTTCACTCAAATGTACATCATAATACTGAAGAAAATATCTGCCACTACTACAGTTCCATAGATAATTAGTATACTATTAAAAAACCTCCAAAGCGTACAGACCTTTGCGGCCTTGAACTCATAACAGGTGAAGAACATAAAGAGGACCTTCATAATGAAGTTTCCATAAATATCTGACTGTCCTGACACTATGTTTACATGCTTTTGAACAATAGTTCAGTTTGTAAAAGTGCATAGCGAGGACTCTGTAGACCCCACGGCATGCCCCTCGGCATTAAATTGATCTGTTTACACACTGGATAGAGTTGGCAGGAGTCATTAGTTAGATCTACCCATGTTCCTGTCAAAGAGAGATATCTTCGTCTCTCCAAGAAGCTATTATACTGTAATTGTCGCTTAATCTTTATTGCAGCTCGCTTTGGTTCATCGGATACTCCATCCTAGCTTAAGTGTTCGTAGAAGTTGTTTGTCAGTGAAATGTTATATTGGCTTCAAAATCTGCAATCATCATTCTGCAGTGAGTTGCTGGTGTCCTCATTTCCATGTGGAAAGTCTTGCAGCTGCTTTTTGCATTGTTTCAGTCAGCCTCCCCCATCCGCAATCCCAGTCTCAACAACTAAACTGATCCCACGGCAATGTAAACAGGCATTGTACGCCTACACAGGTAAACAGCTGCTGGAGACTGATTGCACGTTATTCAAATTTGACACCGTAGCTGCCTCTTTTATTTCTGGTACCTGTGGCAGTGCTTGTGTAATGCTGTCCATTCTTCCCACAATCCTCTCTGACAGGGGCATTAATAAACACTGACACCTGCTGCCCTCTGAAGACAGAAGTGTAATACACTTCGGCCCACATGCAGACCTCCGGCCCTTCCTGAGCTTGACAGGGTCTGTCTTCCTTTCATTTTAGGCACCTCAGGGAAACATTCCTGCGCTTTGATGTAGTTCTGCTCTCTGTCTTGCTATGAGATCTTATTATCTTGATGTCACAGAGTTTCCCTAACGAGTCTGCAGTTACTACTGTTCCCATGCATGCTGTTCTCAGTGGAAAGATGTCACAAAACTCTCTTAGTGGTTAATTTATTAGTGGTGCTTGAGACAAACTTCTGTATTACTCTTGCTCATACTTAAGGTTAGAGATTTGAAGAAACCCTTCACACTAAGTAATAAACTCCGACTCATAATTCCTTCCTCGCCGTGGCTTGTTGAGGAGATTTGTGGTATTACTTTCAAGTGATCAGATGAATTTTGCCTGGCAGATTATAAAACAGATGAAACATTTAATAGATTTTAACTGAAGGAAGCACATGAGTTTTATCTGGAGACCAAAATTTGGGATATGCAATATATTGGCTATTGGACAATGTTAGAGCTTTTTTAATAAAACCGATAGGTGTATAATTAATTGATGCCAATTAACTTTCCAGCTTAAAGTTAACCTTTAAAACCACAATAATTTAAATGCAATATTTATCAAATCTCAAAATGAATATCAATTTATGCTAACTTGTGGGATTTAAAGTGACTGACTTTCTAGTTTTTAGTGTGCTATTTTTAATTTAATTACAGAAAATAGTGTCAAATTTTTAACAGTTTTAATATATTTTGTAAATGAATGATACTAATCTTATTGTGGACAATTTATCCATGTATACTATTTTTTTTATTTTTTTTTTTTATTTAATTTATTTTTTGACCTTGTAATTTTTAATAAAAATGGAAGCTCAATCTTCTTTTGAAACAACATTCTTCTCTTTGATGATGTATGCTAGGCTTTCAATCCTTTACCTTAAACCTTGACCATCCACAATAAACTGTGAGAGTGCATTTCCACATCTCAAAATCTAATGAACAAGTTTTGCGATAGTCTCAATATGGATAGTCAAAGGAAAGATCTGTCGCTACTTCCTTTTCTTTTTCATTTCTGTCCTTTAACATTGGTGCATCCCTAACCTAATTATCATACTTGAGAGGCCAATAAACTTCGCAGAAAACCTTAGCAGCCACCTAGCACTGCTCTAGCATCACGGCAGAATAGTTTGCATGTACAAGTTGACTTTTTCTTGAATGGCTCCTTATTTCTCAATTCTACACACTGGAGATGATTCCATTGATCCAATGTCATTCGTGAGAGCTGTAGACACCCGTTTGTGCCAGATAAGGGAAGAAGAGGAGCATGGGAAACACAGGTAGACCCACACATGGAAACCATTTTGAACTTTACCCTTTGTAGCTGTTGAGGAACATCTGGTTTGGTTCCTCTTCCTCCATATCTCTGCTCCAGCAGTAATAGACGAGGAGTTTGTTTAAAAGCACATGAAACTGTCAGCAGCTGGTTTATAGACTCCCTGGTGGTGAGTTAATCTGGGTTTTTCTTACATAGACTTGGAAATCACTATGTTTGGAATGAATTGGAGAGTTATCAAGTTTATTGTAATTCTGAGACATTCTCCTCCATGAACCATCTCTCATTACCACTTCTCTCGCATGATCGGGCCGTGCAGGGATTCATGGTTAACCTGGGAGGAATTTAATCTGTATCCAGGCAAAGCCTAATAATAAACAGCTTGAATTTTTATCTTTGACTTAAAGGAATAATTCACCAAAGAATGAAACTCTTGTTCTAAACCAGTATGACTCACTTTCTTTTGTTGAACACAAAAGGAGGAATTTTAAAGAACGGCCAAACATTTTATCATTTTATTTATCGTATGGACTACTGTTATGCTGTTTTTGGTCCCTGTCCTTTATTTCTTTAGGGGGGAAAACAGCACAAACATTTTTTTTTTAACATTGAAGAAAGTAAGTCTTGGATTTGCAATGACATTTTTGTGTGACGTAATCCTTTAAGAATGTTAGAGGTGGAGATTATGTCTGAAATGCACGCACATACACAAAACACTGCCTCATGCAATACATTTCCCCTACAGTATCTCGTTCCTTAAGAGATGAGTCAAACTAGGATCGAGAGACGCTTTGAAGTGAACCAGAAAAGGAGGACTAATCAGTCTGAGAAAGAGAGTTCTCCTTGCGGTGTTGTACACATTGTTGACTAGACACACTTAATGGTGTGTGCTTGACAACCCCTAAATAGAGAAAGTGACTGATGGACTGTGGGTAATAAATGGCATTGGCTTTGACCTCTTTCTGGCAGAGAGGCTTGTGGAGAGATAGTGGAGAGAGGTCAGGAGGAGGATACTCTCTGACCTCTGACCCGTAAACGCACACACACGTCAAATCCAGGCCTGAATGTTGAATAGATACCATATATGACCTCTGTGATCTCTTTACATACAGATTAAAGGAAAGGTCTCCATTCAGAAACTTACATTGATGGCATTATTTGTCCAAACACTGTTTACATTGATAAACTTACATTTGTAGTCTATGGGGTATGGCATGATGTAGAGGTTTAAACCACAAATGTAGACTTTTGTTGTTAAAACACTTATGTTCTTCTAAATGGTGGCACTACTGTTCTTGGTTGATAACATCTGGTTACTGTATAGTATTTTCATAGTAATTCTTTTTAGATGTATCTTTCTTATGTGAGTTTCTTTCTGATAAGCATGCATCAGTGTTGGGGGGAAATGCATTACAAGTAACGCGAGTTATGTAATCAGATTACTTTTTTCAAGTAAAGTAACGCATTATTTTTACATTTACAAGAAGAGTTACTTTTTCAAATATGTAACGCAAATTAGTTCAGCCTGAGGCTTATTTATTTCACTTTTGGGGTG